CCTCAAAAAATTAGGCCTAGAGGTTCCATTTGACCCAGCTATTCCCTTTCTGGGTATCTTTGCAGAAAAATTAAAAGCATCATACCCTAGCAATATATGCATAGTCATGTTTAGAGCATCACATTTATAATAGTAAAATCTTGAAAAAACAACCAAATGCCCATTAGCAGGTGGATGGAGGAGGAAGATGTGGTTTTTTTTTTAATACAATGGAATACTACTTTACCATACGGAAGTGTAAATTTGAGGCATTTCTAGGTAAATGAGTGTCCTTGAGACTATACTCTTGAATGAAATAAATGAGACACACATATTTAGATGCTGCATTGTTCATGTGGTGTGAGAAACCAAAAGTGTAAATAAGGACCAAAATGTGTAACAGGTTTTGGGAAATGGGATGAAAATGTACAAATGTTTGAGCCATTCATTGTTTTTTTCCTTTTTGTACTTGAGATTGAACTCAGGGTCTCATGCGTGCTGGGTAAGTACTCTTTCACTGTTGTACTTCAGCCCTTGCGTATGGTGTAAGAGAGGGGTTCATACTGTTCTTTTGTAAGGCTCAGGTAGTGTGTATTTTGCACTTGCTTAACCATCTAGGCCCTCTCTCGATTTCCCACTCTTGTCATCATAGTGCCCCAGCAGCTGTAGACAGTAAACTAAAGGGCTCGGGTGTGTTCCAATGAAACTTTATTTGTAAAAAGAGATGGCAGCCAACTTTGCACTTGAGCTGTGTAATCTGCTGACCTGGTTTTAGGTGTTCAGAGAAAATACTATGTAATTCTTGTAAGTAACTTTATATTAATGTAATTTACTTATAACTTCTTAATATTAGGGCTGGGGATTTGGCTCAGTGGTAGAATGCTTGCCTAGCAAGCTGGAAGCCCTGGGTTTGGTCCTTGGCACCAAAAACAAATAAACCTCATCTAAAAAACAATTCAGCCCCAAAACAAAACAAAACAAAACAAACAAACAAACAAAAAAAAACAGTGAAATAAAAAAGACTAGAAACAAACAAGGGGGACTGGGGAAATAGCTCAGTTGAATAAGCACTTGCTTGGAAAGTGTAAGGGCCTGAGTTCAATCCCCAGCTCTGCAAGACAAACAAACAAACCAAGGCAACTTCTTAGTATTAAAATATAATGCTAATCTTTTGAAATTTAAAACAGATTTCAGTTGAATTGAACCAAACTTTAGAATAATTTGCAAGTTGGTCTTTTATTTTTTTATTTATTTAGTACAGGGTTTATAGGGTCTCACTACACAGATTGGACTTGTAGTGATCCTCTTGTTTTCAACCTCCCAAGTACTGAGATCCTCTTGTTTTCAACCTCCCCAGCCCCGCTCCCAGGGTGCGCTGAGATGTTGACTTAGACTGGACGTGGTGGTGCACCCATAATCCCAGCACTTGGGAGGCTGAAAACAGGAGGATCACTACAAGTCTGATCTATGTAGTGAGACCCTGTAGACCTTATCCTACATACATTTTTTTAAAAAAGAGCATACAAACACGTGTAAAAAATATCAACTAAAAAGGAAACAGTGAGATTGTGTGAAGTGTGTTAACTTGTCCAGACCCAAAGAACGGACTTCAGAAGCAAGAAGAGCAGTAAAAGGGACGCTTCAGTTGGGTCTGGCAAGGACAGTGCCTGCTGCGCTGTGAGGCACATAAGGAGGGCGGGTGGTACACCCAGCAGTCAGCCCCTGAGGTGCGTGTCCCTCTCCTGCTAATGCGGTTTCCACCCACTTTTCTCATTGGCCCAGTTCTTTGGGGACATAGTCTTTTCCTAGGCACCCGTGTACTCTTCGCCTCCTCTCTCAGCAAACATTCTGTGGTTTTTATAAGTAAATTACTGAGCTGCTGGGGTAACTTCTTAACTGCTAGTACTTTTCCAATCAGAGGTACCATAGTCAATGCCATACTTTATTATCTACCCTCCCCTTTATTTAGGGACCCTTTCGATGAATGCCCAAGGTAGAGTCTATGGGTGATGATGCCGTTGTTTTCCATGGAGAAAAGGTGGAACAACTTTGTTTAAAGTTAGAAAGGACCTTATCCTGAAAACAGATCACTTGGAATTTCTGTTTTTTGTAGGAATTAAGAGAAGGGTAAATAAGGGAAGAAAGGAAAGAGGATTAGAAAAGGAATTAAGATGTGGTGTATACATGTAGCAACTCCCCTCAAGAAATGTAAGCATTATGTTCTGTACACACATACTAATAAAATAAAACTAAATAATACAAATATGTAAAATTGAATATATGTCTTACAGTTTTTCTTTGCTTGAGTTGAATTTTCTTGTATTGCAGTTCATGTAGCTAGAGAATAAGTAGATAATCAGATTTCAGTTGAAACATTTGCTTGTTTTGAGACATATTAACTACGAGTCTCACTTTGCATTTATGACTTGTTGTAAAGAATGCATGTATGGAGTTTGGAACATCGCTCGCTAGCTCCCAACCTCCCTCTCCTTTACTCTCTCCTTCCCCAAGCTCCATTCCCTTCTTATCTTCCTCCCTCACACCCTCTCTCCCTCTCTTTCTCTCTCTATGTATATCATGTTAGCTGTTACTCCTTTCTCCTCTTTAGTTTGGAAATTCAGCTTCCCAGTTAATCCAGAAGGCAGAGGATGTGTAATTACCTCATAATGAAATGCTTCCTTGACTGGTAACAAGGTCCTTTTTCAGTGCTCCCAGTGCTCTGTAAAACTTTAACTAGGCTAAGGGTGGTGAGGTGGTCAGGCTGAGGTGGTGACAGGAGAAGGTGGGCAGGGAGCCTGTAAGGGTCCAGAGGCCGTCACACAGGGAACTACAGTAAGCAAGTTAAGTATTTGCTTTAATGCAGTAATACAAGCAAAGACAGTTGTGACTTAAGTTGTTATTTTATAAGTGAATGGATTGTATGCAAACAGACAACTGAACTATATTTCAATTTTTCCTAATATATATTTTACATAATAACTCCAATGGATATTAACATCCTGATCATTTTGGTAAAAATAAGTGACTTTTTCTAATATACGTATTGCTGAAGCCTTGAATTCCAAGATCTATCAAACAGACTCGTTGAAGTCTTCCAAGCATTCTTGAAGGCATACAGAACCAAAATAAAAAGTTTTGTAAGAAAAAGTTTTTGTGTCACTGTTGTACCTTAGGCTGCTCTTCATTGGGATCTGGAATCAACAGGTGGTAGAGTTTGTGGGGTTCTTCCCATGTGTAGGTGTGTATCATCTCATTTTTATACAAAATTTTATCATTGCATTGTGTGTTAGTCTGTTACTTGTCTTTTTTTTAACCTAGTCTGACCTGGAGTTACTTAAAATGAGTGTTTTAGTCATTTTTAAAGACAATGTACATGTACATCTTGGTGGAAATGTGAAGGTTGTTTCTGTAGTAAAGATTCCTAGAAATACATTTCTGGGCCAAAGCTTCTCTGTATTTTAAATTCCATTAAAAGCTCTTAGAAATAGTTTTCCCAATTGGCTTATTTTAAGTTTTTCATTCATTTATTTTAACAATTTTTTGAAGCATTTTTTGAATTATCAGTGCTATTCTAGATACTAGAGATGCAGTGGAGTAAGCTTACATTGTATTGGGGAGAGATTAACCATAGAGTCAATGAAATAGAGAATATAATGGCAGGTAGTAATTATGACTGTGGAGAGCAGTGAAATAGGAAGAGAATGGCAGAGGGTCCTGTCTGAGACTGGTTGGCCTCTTGAACGACACAGGGGCATGAGATCTGAGGCCTGAGGGTGTCATATACTCTCAGTACACACCGGATTCACTTTGATACTTCATTAAGGTTTTTATTTATCTATAAGTGATGATCGCCAGGATAGCAAAAAATAGTTGCTTTTTTATGTTAGTCTCTGTGTAGTCACTTCTGATTGATTATCAGTATAGCCTGCTTGTACAATGAGTTCAGAAATTTTCCATCTTTGGGGCCGGGGAGATAGCTCAGTAGAATAAGTGCTTGCCTGGCAAACGCAGGGTCTTGAGTTCAATCCCTGATCCTGGGAAAAAAAAAAAAAGAAAAGAAAAAATAAATTTTCCATCTTTTTGGGGGACTCTTGAGCAGTGTAAACAACCTAGGAATTATCTGTTCCTCTGACAGAAGGGCCATCTTTTCTTAGTTCCGTGTATTCTGAGCAGTGTTCTGTCTTCCCTCCTTCACTCCCAGGAGCACGCACACCCTCGCCTTTGGTCCTGGGCAGAGGGCAGCCTTCTCTGTTGTCAGTACCTGTCTTCTGAGAAATACTTCTTGGGCTTCCCTGGGAATTGTCCTGTGTATCTGCACTGGGGAAAGTATTAGGAAGGCAGGGAGGCAGAGTCCTGGATTGGGCCTCCGTCCACTAAGAATCGCTCACTTGCTGTGGTGGATCTCATCTTCATTTGCAAAGCACATGTTCTAGTCTTCTGCTAAGTTTGGGAAAGACAAAGGGGCATGAATGTGCTTGCTGCCCAAGTCTACTGTTGTGGTCATTGAGTATTGAAAGGAATTTATTCTCGTACTAACAATCTGCCCTACAGTTTACTAGTAATTTATGTACAAATATAATTTGCAAAAATCCACTGGTAAACTAATTTGAAGATAACATCATGTAATACAGCAATCATTGTTGAATCCCTATTATTTTGTTTAGTGAAGATTTGTATCATTTATAATGCTTTTTTTTTTTAAAAAAACCTATTTGTATTCTTTAAAAATATTCGCTGGTAGTCTTCCTTTAAAATAACTTTGGCTTATATGGCCTTTCTTGGGAGAGTGGGTGGGGAGTCCCTGGTTTTTGGGGAGTTGTGCCTGCTGTACCTCGTGAATCTGCAGGAAACTATCATGTGAGGGTAAAGGGCTGAACACTGCTAAGTGAGGCAGAGCAGGCAAATCCTCAGAAGGTGTAATGGCTAACCTCTACTCTGAGGAGGATGTCAGTGTAATTCCTATGCACTGTTGTAATCTGTAGAAAAAACAGGCTGATCTTTTTGGATTGCGTTTCTTTCAGAATCTTGACTAAACTTCTGGAGGTGTCAGACGACCCCCAAGTCTTAGCTGTTGCTGCTCATGATGTTGGAGAGTACGTGCGCCATTACCCACGAGGCAAACGGTACGGGAAACCATCGCTGTCCTTTGTGCTGATCTTCAACACAGAGCCATGAGTAATGTACTTACCTACAGTAGAGTACTTTAGCAGAGGAACCAATAATGGAGTAAGTGAAATCAAGATTACCATAGTCACTGTGCACTTACAGTGAGTAGTGTAGAGGCTCAAGCATACTTGAATTATCATTATCTCGTAGGAGTCAGCAGAGATAAAATTAGAAATTCCGTGTCCGTGATGTCCATGCCTTTGTCTTTGTCCTTATCTTGCATAAAATACTTAAGCACAACAAAAATCATGTCTGCGATTAGACTAAGATATATACCTTCAAACAGCAAAATTACTGTTTTCCCCCTAAGTATGCAAGTGAAGAATATTTTTAATCTTTATTTGTTTTTGTATATATGTTCATTGTAGCTCAGGCTGTTTTATGTCTGTTGATGTTTGTAGCCCATTATGGTGGTTTCATTTGGAGCAGTTAGTTATTACTGTGGACTGTCAGCTGTGTCAGCTTTGTTTTTGTTATTGACACTCTTAGATGGCTTGGAGTAGGTAAGATAAAATCACCTTCTGGTTCGGATATATGAGGGCTGTCCCTGGGGCACCAACAGGACTACTGCCCTGGCTTTTCTTTTGGGCCGAAATCCTGACCATGAGCATCCTGAAACTTGGCGTGCTGGTGAATGGGCCAGGCGCAGCCCAGCAGCATCCGGCTTTGCTGTGTGGTTCTGCCCTAGGCTTGGAGTGCTGCCTGGAGACACGTGGGAGAGGAAACGGGCAAGTGGTCATTGGAAGGCTACTTAGGGTACACTGCGGGGGAGTGGGAAGTTACGTGAGTGAGCTAATTAGGACACTTGGTGGACTTCAGCACATTTTCATTTTTTACCTGGTAGTAGAAACCCTTCCTATTGGGCAGGCACAAAACTTTATTCGAGGGACACATCAGAAATCAGATGGCTACAGGTAGGGGTGCACGTGCGTGTGCCTGTATGTGTGAAAATAAGTTTCGCACAGGAAGTCTCAATGAGAAACAGAAAATTACTAAGAAAAAGTTAGTCTTTTGGGAGGAGAATATTGCATTCATGCTTCATTTCATATTTAGAACATTCAAATCTTACACCGTTTCTTCCTGTCTGTGCCAGACATAGTAATCATGCTACCAGCAAGTTGTGTGTTTGTGGGTAAATTTGTCAGAAGGCAAAATAGTGTACAAGTGAGAGACTGATGTAGTATGATCTCTCCCCTCTCTGAACTTTAAGGTGAGGCATTGTATGTTCTTTTCAAAGAAGCTTGAAGAGCAAAGGGCAGCTGTGTTTACTGACTCTGAAAGATCCACTTCCCTAAATGTGGGCTTTTTATGCACAATTTGCAGGGTTCATTCTTTATACTCCCGTGTGGAAATGGAGGCCCAGAAAGCAGCATGTAAACACTGGCATCTTCCTGCTTCTGCCGCTTTCACAAGCTGTCCTTTGTTTCAGGCCTGCGAGTCTTGTGTCTTCTACCAGTACCCACAAAACTAAGGCAGGCTCACTTGATAGCTGCAGGTAGGGTAGAAGTAAGATCTTCATAGTTCTTGTCCCTGTAATATGAAGAGCTATCTAAAATTAATGCTATTCAGAGCTACCCTATTTTACTATGGAAAGTGAAAGATCTTTTGATAGGGAAGCATAAATACAGCCATGTGTTGTTTAATAAGAGGAGACAGTCTCTGAAGTGAATTGTTAGGTGCTGTTGTCCTTATAGGAAGGAACATTGTAGGGTGTGCTTCCACAAACTAAGATGGCTATGTAAACAGTAGGTGACATAATGTTAGGAGGCCACTGTCCTGTGTATGGCCTGTTGAACAAAAGGCCATGTGTGGCACACGAGTTTAAAGCTAATAGCTAACATCCCTAAACTATCTAAAAAGTGTTTAATATGAGAAACTACAAACAATAAATGGTAGATAGAGCCTTGTTAGGTCTGCCGCTGCTAAAAATGAACTAACATAAAAAAACATAACAACAGAAAAGCATAACAGTTCATTATTTTTTATGCAGGTGTTGTTACTGTTAAGGCTGCTTTTTTTTCATTTTAATGAGAAAAAAAGATAAAATAGCAATGAAATGGTTTCAAGACAGGTTAGTAGGACAGCTACAATAATTAGTACATTGCTTGTTGTCTTTGTATTAGTTATTCAGAGGACAGGATGCAGACATGATAGCTTGTCTAAACAATATTGGTACAAGCCTTTTTTTTCCTCCACAAAAAAAATGCTCCTTTATTTATATACCCCTTTTTTGTTTTGTTTTGACAGAGATGGGTGTTCCATTGCTGTTAGAGAAGCTGTATTTGGAGAAGTCTTTAAAGAACCTTTTCATACTTGATGCCAGTCCAACAACTGTAGGAACTTGAATTCATAAATAACCCAATATAGTCCAATAGTCCATAAGAGTAGTGAGTTATCAGCACAACTGGCGATTGTCCAAAGTTGTTGACTTGAGCCTTTTACAGCTGAGCATATTAATACTTTACTTTTTATACCTCGTGTTTACCTTTTCTGCTGAATAGTTAAGACCAAGTTAAAGCAAGACCTGTGTAACTAAAAGTGTAACTTTTGCTGTCTAACAAGCTCAGTCAAATCCCCTCCGGATTTATCTCGGAACTATGTACAACATCTTGTGGATCTTTTGTCAGTGTCATCTTCTGGATGAGTTACAGTCATTGCTTGACCAATAGGCTCTCTGTGAAAGCCTGAGAGAATTATTTCTCTCTGTGATTCTCCTTAGGCACACTCTACATCATCAATCACTTTCCTCTGGGGCTCCATAATCTTCCTGGTCAGAAAATTTGGGATACCACTTAGTTACAGGATGTCACAGCAGAGGTTCTCTTATGTCTTGAGTCCTCACTGACCTTGAAGGGCTAGGGCCAAATTATTGGCTATTTTAAAGCTGCTTTTGTCATTCCAAGAAACACATTTTACACAATAACTTGTTTTTGTAAATTCTGATGGAAAGCATAACATGCAGTTAATTGCCCTAAATTGCAAATTCAGTGGTCGTTTTTGGTCTAAGGATGTGTAGCTTAGGAAAGAGTTTGCCTAGTGTGCACAGGGCGTAGGTTTGGTCACTGCAGAAGAAGAAAAAGTGTCTTCAATAAGTACAGAGAATTAAAAAAAATTATGTAAACAGAGTGCTTCTAGCATGATTATTAGTCACACGTCCGACTGTTTCAGCATTGAAAGATGAGTGGGTACCTTGTGGTTTTCCAGGCAGTTATGCAGCCCTGTGTCTGTGCAGCGGTAGCTCTCTACGTGGTCCTGTCTAGAAGTCTGGCATAGTGAACGTTGTTCTAACAGTTAAAACATCATCGTAATAGAACCCAAGCCAGACTAGTGCTCTTACAGGTGGGAGTGCACAGCTGCAAAACCCTGTCTCACCCCGGAACATCGCGGCCACATTTGATTGCTCTAACGAAAATGAACACGTACATTGCCTTTGTCTATTGGAGCAGTTCCCTGTCTTAGCAGACACATAGCCTTTCCCGTTGTAGAAGATCAGAAGGCCAGCAGTTCACTCTCTTCAGTCCCCTTTCACTTCACTTTCCCTGAGCTCAGGGAATTGATGGACCTGCCCCAGACTTGGTCAGGGATGGTGGTAAGGGGCACGCAGAGAGGGCCTGGGAGTCCAAGGTGGAGAGCAGAGTGGGCTGCGCAGCTGGGTGCCACAGTAGCGCGTCACTGTTCTACGTGGGCATCCTGCAGGCGGCTTCCCTGGCCTCCAGGCTGCAGCCTCCTTTCAGGTTTCTGCTGCTGCTTAGGAAGAGTTGGCTTTCTAGTGGAACTAGAAATGCTGAGTGTTGCAAAAGATTCTTGACTTTTATTTTAAATATTGGGGAGATCACTATAACTGCCCTTAGAAGAACAAAACAAAACACTCATCCTATTTTCTATGTGGGAACATTATTCTGTGTGTATCTTCATTGTGTGCCACTTTTCATTTAGGTCAGTGATAACCTGATTATGTCTCCTCTCTTTAAACTGAACTTCTCAAAAAGAACAACTATATCATAGTAGCCATAGTGTTCATAACACAATAGGAGAAATCAGATCTTTAAAGAGATACCAAAATTCATGCTGTTTTCAGATGCAGACTCTAGGCTGGGGAGATAGCTTGGTGGTCTAAGCACCTGCCTGGCGAGCTAAAGGACCTGCGTTTGATTCCTAGTAATGCATTCCATGCCGGCCCTGGAACCCCGATGCACCATGCTGGCCACTGAAACCAGGTGTGGTGGTGCACACCTGTAATCCCAGTGTGGGGAGGCTGAGACGGGGGGATCAGTAGGAGTCCGAACTGTATAGTAAGACCCTGTACCAAATGAATAAATAAAATATTTTTAAAAAGTATATAAAAACAAATTGCACACTCTAATGTCAGGTAAGTATCTCTTTTCTTTTGTAGAAAGATTAACATAGCACATACACATACATTTTTTTTGTTTTTTGATAGTGACACAAATTTTTATCCACCAAATCCAATTAATTCCTCTCCTATATTATAGTTATCATGAAACATAGCAAGTACTCATTGTGGAAAACTTGAAAAAATGCCACCACTACTGGAAATAATTTGGCTGGGTGCCTTGCAGAAGTCTGGCCACGGAGGCAGGTGCAGGCAGTCAGGCCGCACTCTCTCATGGAGCCCCTGGTGCCGGCTTTCCTAGCCAGCCAGCCCTTTCTGTGGTCTTGTCTTCTGTAGCGCCTCCATGGCTTCCACCTCCACCTGACAGAGTCTGATGTGAAGAGGTGTCATAACACATTTGAATCTTCCATCTTTTGATGGTGAACAGCTTTTCACCATGAGATGGGTAGATGAGAAAGAGATCCATATGGAGTACTGTATCATCTCTGCTGGACTTAGAATCTTGTAGGCATGATGAGCCAAACAAAGATTCAGAACTCTTAATTCATATATTTCCTTGGATACCAGAATGACCTGAATACCTTGTCCAGAAGATAAGCCCAT